AAACCCGAGCGTAATTTAGGCGTAATTACGAGGGATGAATATTCAACGAAGCCACTTAGGAACTACGAGTAATAATTTACATCAACAATTCGAGAAGGCCAAACAAGAAGTTTTGTCTCGCAACGGACATAAATTCTTTACGAACGCGTTTATAAATTTTATTAGAAAATAAATAAACAATTACTCTAAGTAGAGCAAACTATTATACCTTGCCATCGATGCAAATATTATATATATTTTGACTAATTTATGTTATTTAACTAGACAGCTTTGTGCATTACAAATTTAAAAATGTTTCTATTTTAAGACGTTTGGAAAATTGTTTGAAGGGGTGAGTACTCCCTTGTTTAGAAGATAATTGTTGTAATACTTTTTCGTGAGTGGGAAATCTTGAGTTTAATTAATAAACCTAGAAAACATGTTTTATTACTCGAATTTATATTTATATAAAAATTTTAAAACCTAACATTTATTGGACGATTTTTCAAGTTAAGTTTACTCGATTATGAAAGTTTATAAATACTTGCATTTCTCTCAATGAAGATTGAAATTTAAATTATTTTTTCCATATTAAAGATTTGGCAAATAACTTGTTTGAAACTTCCAAAATTATTAAAATTGTGAAAAATGAAATAGAAAAATTGAATAACACAGCTTGCCAAACAATTTCCAAGGAATTTATTTTTCTATCCTCAAGTTAATCTTTTAAACAAATTTTCAGATAATAATATTTCCGGAAAAAGAAACGAAAAAATCGAGTTGTTCGAGAGTAGGAAAATGGTTTGACGGATCCACGTAGGAGTCGAATAATGGTACTGAAAGATCGCTCGACTATTGTCACGGATGTCCCATGGGTTCACGAACCCCAGCCCGGTATATTAGAGTGCTGAATTAGTTAATGCCAGTCACATGGTCGGGCAACGACGAATTACCATTCTCGCGACGCGTCAACAGTGCATACGATTGCATTTTCGACAAGATCATTTCGTCCAATAATTGGGCCCTTCCTTCCTGTTTAGTTGTCCCTTGTTCTCGGTATCGCCCTTGTTTACCGCCTCTGACTCTTCGCGATCATCTTATTCGCTCCGATACTCTCCTCAAAGCTCGGTCCAATTTATCATACAAGCGATCGATATACGCCAAGTATGATCAAACTTTCTACAAATGTTTATTAACGATACAAATGCCTAGAGAAAATTATTATTTTTCAAACAAAAATGTGAAGACCAAAAAATTGAGGTCTGGAACGATTTTTGAGAGTTGAATAGACCATTGAACATTTTTATTATGGTTCTAGATAATGCAACAACAGTAGGTATTAACTGTACAAGAAATAACAATAATAAAATTGTCGAAATAATTTGTTTTCATAGGAAAATTAAAGCCAACTTGTGGCATTAAAATAGAACCATAAATTGTTTGTATAAAATTGTAGGGGACGTCGAAACAAATGCAAAACTCATAAAATTTTTTTACAGGAATAAAAATGGAGAAACCATTTTTTTTCCATTTTGGGTACATAGAAAATAATCATATTTTATTCTTTCCTAATAGCTTTTATAAATGTATATTTTACAGTTATTGAATTTATATATTTATAAACTTGTTGCTTAGAAGCAACTGATAAAAAACTCACTAATGTTATAACAATTATGGTCCCTAGTCTTAAATGAATAAACATGATTTCTCTTCTTTCTCTTCGAAATCCTGGATAATAACTCTTTGGTAATAGGGTCTAGGACAAAGTTCTCAAGATCGAATGTAGAACGGGAGATCGATCTAAGAAATTGTGCATAATTAGCGATTATCGAGCCGATTGGAAAGATTAATCAGCGTCCTGACGGTTTATGCCGTCTTCATCGCTGAAAGAAATTTCGCTGATTTACATATACGACTTCTAGTATTCCGACGTATTTTCCAGCACGATATTCTTTTTTTTAAGGAGCACAATTATCCACGTAGAAGAGACACCCCTCGTGCATTCGCACGCATGGACGCGAAAAAAATAGATAGCCTCAGCATGATTTCACAGTATGCTTGATAACTGACGACAAACAAAGCGAGTCGATAACTTTTGAACCCCCGGTATACGTTTCGTTTGCGATGACGTCCGTGTGCAAAACAGAAGTTTATTTACTTGCTTCATTGTTCGTGGTCTGAGAAAATTAATAACAAAATTATACTTTTCTATTTGATCAAGAAAATTTAGAAAATTAAATTTAATATTTCAATTTACGAAATCTAAATAATCGTTTCAATTTTCATTTATATTACACGTTTTTGCCAATACTTACGATATTCCACATTGTTTATAATATATTTAATTCTTATCAAAAATTTGTAATACAAATTTTAATAGTTCCTTGTGCAGCGAACTTCGGGTCCATTTTGACCCATGAAAACTGTTTACTTTGACATTGTAATGTTTTAATTTGTATTGAGTAACAATAATAATAATAAATAATGAATTTACTAGTACAAAAATAGAATTAAAAGAAAAATACAAAATAAGCAGTACGTAAACAGTTTGTTTATGTTTTGAAAATTGACGAAGTTAAATATCTATTTTTAATAAAATAGATTTCGATTTTTCTGTGTCACGTGAGGCCATAATAAAGCATATGGAAAGCGCAATTTCCAAACACGTACACACGATGTGACGAAATACCTATTTGGAATTTGAACACGACACGTACAAACGAATCCATGCATTCGATCATCGAGCTAGAATACAAATTTCGTAGGTCGCTGAGAAAATTTCTAGAAAATGTGATTCTAGTTGAGAGAAGCAGTATTTCTTGAAAGTAAAATAATATTCATATGACGACTAACTTCAAAAGATTTCGTCCGTACGAAAAAGAAAATCATTTTCCAGTAGTTTATTTAAGTTCCAAGAATTTTTATAATGTTTTAAACATGCTTAGATATCCAGGTCTAAACTTATGTAATTATAATGTCTTCATAATCTCCGCAATTGCGATAAAGAAACGACTAAAGCATAGTGCCTCACGAAAGTAATTAAACACTAATCATAAAATACTTTAGTGGACATAAAATTATTATATGTATATTGCTTATAAAAATATTGTTAAAGTTATAAGTAGGTATGACTATCAAAATTGTATAAGCTAAAAGTCTCATTTTCTGCCATTTATACTGCTGTTATCACCCTAATTTGTTGCATATAAAACAGAAAAAAATTAAAATACAATTTTATGTGTACATAATACAACAAAAAATGTACCTGCTATTTTTATGAAATAATTTTCAGGTGTCTGTATATTTGTGTGTGTAGATATACATTTCACAGATATATGAATACTTTTTTATTTGAATAACACTATCCTATCAGTAATATTTAAATAGTGGCTTTTGAATAATAATATTCAAAATAATATTCGTGACCTAATCGAATGGTCTCAACCCTACTACTGACATCTACCGCCACATGACAGAAATGCTACTAATATACATCGGAAAAACAGTATGAGAAATGTTAATACAACTTTCAACAAGCAAGAACCAATAACAATGCTACTTAATCACGTTATAATACATCAAAGACTCAATCTTTAATTACTATTATGTATTTTAAAAACATAACTAGTATCGTGGGGAATCCAAAAATACTGCCTTTGTTTTATGCCAGTTCAATGCGCTAAATAGTAGCGCACAATAATTAATTATACATAAAATTAGTCGCTGGAGTTTAAAAAAGCCCCACGTTTCCAGTTAAGAGTTAAGGAAAATATTAACCCGTTGCAATAAGTTTCTATAATCTCTCGAACCCCCCCCCCTTCCTTCAAATATAATCATCGCAAGAAAATGTAGTCTGTCTGTAAAAAATAAGCCGAAAACGAAGAATAAAATTTGTTCGTAAAATGCTTCGTTTTCAAGATAATTCAATTTAAAGATTCGTGGGGTACGCGTACAATTGAACACTTAGGGGGGCAGACCAGTGCCCGCCATTTCTACTTGTGTTCTCCGTTGCACTCGCGCCTCACGAATTTTCGAACTCGATTTCTTCCAAAACAAAGTCCAGTAAGTCAAAAAGTTATTCCATATTTTCGATATATTTTTTCGCGTAAAATCACCTTCTTTCAAAAATAAAATTCATTATTGTAAAAAATTCATGAAAGCATCCTCTGTTTCCCAAACCACTCGTTCTAATAGATTATATCTAGTAAAAGTTTCAGCAGATGCAATTTAGTTAATATTAATTTTGGGGAAAGGACATTTTCGCTATGAATAATTAGATTCTTGGCTGCTTTTGCAGCTTGCAAACCAAATGTTAAATAGTGACGCAACGCGGTCAGATGACATATGATTTTTTGTGCGTAATAAGCGGACTACTTAGCAAAAATCATCAGCGAGAAATCAATTACGCCGCTTGTGTGGTCATTGTTTTTCTTAATTAAACTCGATAAGACGCCTTTAAGAGGGACACAAAGTCTGCGAGACTTCACCGATAACCCTGTTTACTGACTCCGGAGAGAAAGCAGAAGGAATCTCTGGTCAACCATCCCCGATATCGTCGATGTTTGCGCCACGCGAAAAATAACATCGTAATAATAACCGTAACTATAATACTAACCAATGTAAAATGCTAAAATTATATGGGACACCCTATATTACGAAAAACAAGGACTAATACATAAAAAAGGTTTTTTTATTTTTAGATATAATATTATTCATATTATTCATAGTTATACCTTATAACTGTATAGTGTTTTATATAATATATTGTTACAAAACAAAAAATAATTATACTGTATGTGAAGTAAAATAGTACAAGGACGAAAGTGATAAATGAACTACGGATATGAATGCACGATAATTATGCAGGAAAATATATTTACGCACATTAAATATGCAAAGTGCGTAGTTATAATATATTCTAAACATTTTCTGTGAATTTAATATTAATTCATGGCGTTTATTTATAAAAATTAATTTATATTTCAATCATCTAAAGTCGAAAGAAAATATTTTTGGGCGAATTTAAGAGTTAATAAAAAATATGAAAAATGTGAGAATTTGTGAACAATATCAACGTAATTGCAATTACTATAGACGAAAAGAATTCAGATTAATATTTATTTTTATGTCTTTATAATTTAATAATTTCTTTCTTTTTTCTCTATAATTACTGGTTCGTTATTTTATTTTTACTGTGTACATTTAGACACCAATGTTTGCTATTTAATTTTTGTTATATAAGTAGTGACGCCACAGCTTATTATTTTATGTTTCCTACGAAGGTTTAAATGCTGCAACTTTGTAATAATTTTTATATAATTTTGTTTATCTTATAATAAATCTGTTGAGTACTATGTTTACGAAACTCCGCAACATAATCTGAAATAATTATATTTTTTTACTGTTTGCTAGTTAAAATAGTATTTATCCCAGCTGTGCGCGTGATTCATCAGATAATGATTTCTCGTCGTGTTATCGTTTCGCAGATAAAATCGACAAAGCTCGACAGTTATTGCGGGGATCCATCGATCTTGTGGCCAGATTATGCAAATCTGTCGTTTGTTGTTTGGACCGAAGGCTCATCATCGATAATCGCGACCGTAGATCGGTAATGAGTGCAATCAAGATTCTTCGAGCAAGTCCAAGGCCTTGTCGTCGTTCATCGACGATCAGACTGCGACGCTATTATGTCATCGCGAGCATGGTTTCCATTAAATCAGCGAAACGGACACGCGAGCTTGTCGGTGTCGTGTAAACATTGTTTGCAAAGTAAACGTGACATTAGTGGACTTTGGTATTCGTGGTATTAGAGCTGCAATTACATATTATTGTATCGATGATAGACTACGCGTAACATAAACGTAACTCTAATTTCCGTTGCTTTAAACGTAAGACTCACTTTTTCTCATTTACTCATTCGTTTGTTCATCACAGGGTTAGAATAGTATTTAAATAATATTCGCTGAATATTCGAATCGCCCAAATGTTCGAATATTCATATGCAAAAAAGTTAGTCTCAGTCTTGAGCTATATCAATTTCCCACCCGTTATAATAACATTGCAATGGCAGTACAAATTCCTGAGAAAATATTAGTTGAAATTAAATGCAATGAATAACCCAACCCTAATAAATGCTCCAAAATTACAGCAACTCCTCGTTGAAACGGCGCATTTCTACCTCGATAAAACGTATTGTCCCTTCTTTAGCACGATAGTCTGCGTCCATGTAAGCCGTCTTTCGAAAAAAATTCCAATCCCAGGAGTCAATTTCGTGCTGCTACCTCGTTAAAACGATCGATCGATTCCAAACTCAAACGTTTTATCGAGGAATTGCTGTAGTTGTAGAACGAATGATTCAGAATCCTGATATCATGAAACGTTAGTGAACTGTCCTTTTAGGAAGAAGTTTCATAGGTTCAACGTTGAGTTGTTCCGCCAGTTCCTTCGAATCCTTCAACTGATTAAGATGGTACGTGATCCCGCCAACTTTGTCCACGCCTTCCATGGCGACTCTCTCAGGATCTCCAGCAACTATGACAGATTTACTTCCGGCGGGAGGAAGGTTCCTCAGTTGTTTCAGCAAAGTGGACAGCCTAGTCTTCGAATCGGAGCAGAAAGCTTCCGGGTTAATAGCCATAAAGCATTGCCCAAGGTCAGCCACCGCATTCTTATTCTTCCATTGTCTGACGTTGGGCCCAAAATGGCTCCCAGATAGAATCCCGCAGAGTATTTCGACCATGGCGGCCAGTCCGTAGCCCTTATACCCAGAAGTATGCTCCTCCCCTCCCAGGGGCATCAAAAGCGATGCTTCATAGGCGTCCTCAGCGTCCGTAGTGACCTTTCCATTGCTGCCTAAGGCCCAACCCGAGGGTATAGGTTCGTTCTTCCTGATGGCCAGTTCGATCTTCCCCAGAGCCACGGCTGTGGTAGCCATGTCTAAGTGAAAACGATCCCCGTCCAGGGCTCCCATGCCCAAAGACAGAGGATTGGTGCCCAATCCCTGAGCCTTACTACGAGTTGGGGCCATTAATGGACTGGTATTGGTACAGGAGAACCCTATCAAGCACTGCTCGATCGCCATCATCGTGTAGTAGCCGCAGATCCCATAGTGGTTCGAACCACGGGCCACGACCATTCCAATTCCGAACTTCTTCGCCTTCTCTATGGCCAGCTCCATGCTGTATTTACCGATCACTTGGCCTAGCCCATTGTTCCCGTCCACCAGCGCTATAGCCTAGAAACATTTTTAACGAACTTCACCGGTTAAGGTTACGTTTGGACCTACAGCGTTATACACGAAAGTCTCTTGACAGGCAGAAAGCAACAATCAATTTAAAATGTTATCATCAGTTTGGAGAACCGTTATACTGGGGATTTTTAACAAAATTTAATGGTAAAATTCATATACTAGGTTTTCAAATTGACTCTAAGTACAGTAGAGTTTCACTAAATCAGAAATTGACGGAAATTTCGTTCAAACAAATTTTTACTGCACAAACACACAGTACATTGACTCATTCTTAATAAAACTCATTACATTTCTGTGTCAAACTGATACGATCTAATACAGTTAATAAGCAAAATCTGGAAAGCAAAAGTATTCGAAAAGCAAATCTGTCATGATCGGTATTTATAAATCACGTTCTTTATCTGATACCCAAAACTACGGTTATCAGCGTTGATATAATGCGATTAATACTTTAATTTTGACACGAAAATTGAATGCAAATATGTACTATGAAATATCTTGTGAAATTTAATTCTTGTATATATGAGAAAAATATTTGTTTCTAGGAGAAGCCTGTAGGAACTGTGGTACCTTTTTTCTCTGAAATTGTTCTTTATCATTTTCATTCATTTAAGTTTTTAAGCGATGATATTTCTGTGGTTGTAGTAACGTTAACATGCCTTTACTAAGGTTACCGTAACTTCTAAAATATTTAATATTTTTCTATGGAAAAAATAGTGAATATTCTTCAAATATAGATCCAAATATGTATGTTCAAACTTGATCGTCACTCAATTGCGTTTTAGATAAGTGAATCACGTATTCGATGCGAAAAAGTGTGAAATGGACACGAATCTATCTTGAGCATCACGCGATCTATAAATGTTCCTTTGTTGACACTTGTGCCGCATATCTGAAGTGGCAGAACGATATCTCTGCATCAAGCGTACAAACGACTTTCGTACGATCGACTTATAAGCTGAATAGACCGAGCAATTAACTTCTTTCGGTTTATTGGATATTTTTTACTTTATCCTTAAGTGGATCTATAGCAACTATATATAGGATCTATAGAATGGAAATTTCTCTATTCTTCTTCTAAAGCCTTATCGAGATTTTCTCATTTATTATACAGGGTGTCTCACCCGATTTTGACATGTTGATTTTCTCGCTATTGTTACTCGTAAAAAAAAATGTTTCAGCGGAGGCTTGAATGGTATCGAGTGGAGCATATTCTGATGTTATTAGTTTTTTCGTGAGTGGACGCGTAAAGGTCATATAAAGGACAACTTTGTTTTTTTAAATGGAATGAGGTGTTTTTTAATACATGAATCGATTCAGCTGGACAATCGTTATAAAAAAGTACTAACTATGTAACGTCGAAAAATTAGTAGTTCAGGATATATTTCAATTTAAATTACTTAAATTCTTAAGGCATCATTACTACCGCACCTACCGTTGAACCATTTCTGTAAATAAACGCTAACGTCTTAGTACAACAGTAATGGTGTTTTAGAATTATTTAAATTGAAATATCTCCTGAACTATTAATTTTTCGACGTTACATGGTTAGTACTTTTTTATAACGATTGCCCAGCTGAATCGATTGATGTATTAAAAAATACCTCATTCCATTTAAAAAAACAAAGTTGACCTTTATATGACCTTTACGCGTCCACTCACGAAAAAAATTATAACATCAGAATATGCTCCACTCGATACCATTCAAGCCTCCGCTGAAACATTTTTTGTTACGAGTAACAATAGCGAGAAAATCAAGATGTCAAAATCGGGTGAGACACCCTGTATATACAGGGTGTTCGGCCACTCCTGGGAAAAATTTTAATGGGAGATTCTAGAGGCCAAAATAAGACGAAAATCAAGAATATCAATTTCTTGATTGAGGCTTTGTTAAAAAGTTATTGAAAAATTAAATTACGAAGTTTCAAATCATTCTGAAAAAATTATTTTTGGTTGTAGGGGTCAATTACAAGCATTTTTGGTGAATAGACATACCCTCAAAATCCGGCGCATTTTCGAGAAAAAAAATTCAGTACGGACGGAACTTTAAACGTTAATAACTTTTTAACGAAGTTATCAACAAATTAGTATTTTTGATTTTCGTCTTATTTTGGTCTCTAGAATTTTGCAGTAAATTTTCCCCAAGGATGGTCGAACACCCTGTATATGTACTTTTGGATATTTCTAATAATCTCACCACGAGACCAAAAATTGCAAATATTCTAAAAATTCAAGGAATAGTTTTTCTCGAATAATTTCTTGAAGCAGTGCCTATTTTGAAATACTTTTATTAAACCATTATTTTTGTCTTATTTTCGTAAGTTTGAAAATGCTTCATGCTGTAATTTTTGAAAAATAAATTTCAACTTTAATATTAAGAAAATTGTATAAGAAAAAATAATTGAAATTCCGAGTTTCATCATTTTTTAAATTTTTCTGCCTCCATCATGACCTCACTACATCGAATATGAGTTTGGAGATACGTATCTGAGATCTATGTACACTCTGACCTCGTATCATGGGTCAGAGACGCCAATCTTCGTTTTCAAGTAATCGGTTAACACGGTGGTCAGTTGTGACCGGCGTTTCAAAATGCTTAAAATAAATAAACCTTGATACATACTTGTAAATTTTTTGATGACGTTACTGACATTAATAATACCACAAAATAACTGTTATACAATCGAATTATTCAAAACTTCTATTCATCGTGCATCAAATTTGAAAAAACATCAAGGATATCCCTAATCAGAAAAAGCTGACAATGATCCGAAAAACATAGTTTGAAAACAGAATTGCCAGGAAATAAGTATCAGGACCTCCACAGCAATTCTACATCTTCAAATTTGTTACAAAAAAGTGGACTACAAAATTGATCTTCACCAATTTTCTCAAGGACAAAATTTTTAAATCATTACATGGCACTCTTCTTATCGATGGAATAAAAATTCCTCAAGGAATTATGGGTCGGAAGTGACCTGTTTGCTTGGAAAATGAAATTTCAATAATTCTGTTCGGTTCATTTTCAAAAAACAAAATAATGGTGACCATTCAAGAGAACTGACTAAAAATTTTACACTTTTCGTTTCAAGGTTATTCGAGAAAAAAATTCCCAGAGAACATCATTTTTCGATACGACGACGAAAAGATAAAATGGACGGACTTCCTCGCAACGAGACCAACGTTCGACGGAAGTTAGGCCCTGTACCTGGAAGTCAGTGAGAATCTGCGGTTTCGCGGCTGGGTCCGTGGTCTTGGTCTCGATATCTTGCACGTACATTCGCAATCTGTTCATTCCGTGACTAAAATGGCCGCAATAGTCAGCGGTCATCAAGTGGTGGCCGACCGTTTGCCCATACTCGTCCGGAGTGCCGACCTTACACAAGCAATCACGAATGAACCGAACCACGTCCTCTTTGGGCACCACCACCTGTTCGTTGTATTGACCGGAAGTCATTCTTCTAACAACGATCGAACCAATCTTCGTTGAATCCCGGAGACACCCCAACGCGATCCTCGACGCTGTCGGAATAGTTCTGTACGCTGTTGACATCTTTCATCACCAGATGGCGTCTGTTCGCTCCACTTTTTCCAGAATTAAGATTCTACCGACAAATTTCTGGAGTTAGTCCCCTCCTACGATTTCAAAAATCACGACGAAATCCTTATCAGAATCTCAAGGAGCGGGAAAGTTCGAAAGCAACGTTCAAAATTCGATGTTTCGGATTTCGATGCGTTTGAATTTCCCGCCGTGCAGAATATATTCACAATTACCACGCGAACGTTGTTATTACGTAACTACGACGTACGAGTGGTTAACGGGACTTTTAATATTGATAGAAACGCGTAGACGGTCGTAAATTTGTCTCTTTGGTTCCCAAGAGACGGATCCGGAAACTGTTGGACGATTTTCGTGCACATGCGCGGTCGATGATCTATGTTTCACGGCCAGACTCACGCGGATCGATCTAACCCGTTGCACGAGCTTCGCAACTACTCGCGACGTCGGCTACTGATCGATCAGATAGTCGTTTCTCCGGGTGACGTCACCGCCCCGGTAAATTCAAATACTGATTAGTGTTTTCGCTCGTAACAAGTCGAGAGAATATTCGTACAGGTGAAAACATTCACTTAAATTGTCATGAATATTTATGGTCCTTTGGCATTATATTAAAATCTTATTATTATTAATCGAATCGTATTTTGTATCGTTCAGAGGATAGTAATAATTAAGAGAAAGTTTACTAACAATGATTATAAAAGAAGTATTCTAATTTATAAATTTATGTATAGTTTGAAAGGCTGATGAAGCGTTTTTGGTCCATAAATTGTTTTAATAAAATTCAGGAGAATTCAATATTTTCGTGAGAAATCGGACAAGGTTTCGAGAAAAATATTTAACTAGATGGAATTTGGCATTATTACGCATTTCTTCGAGTTTACGCTCGATACGTTGTGCACGCGCGAGTATATGATTTCTGAAGTGTGTAATTGCGTTGAAGATACCGTTGGTTTTATCAGTGCAAAACAAGAGATACGCTGTTCCTCTTCATTAACCTATAAACGGTCGACGGCGAAGGAGATAGCGATACTATACAATATGTTTAAACGTTCAAAGAAGCAAATGCAGTAATATTATTAAAAAATTAAAAATTAGACTACATTGCATTCATTTTAATTTTTTTCGTTCGAAGTACCTATTTATATTATACTTTTCCAGAGAAAAAAATTGAAGAACACCGAGTTGGACCGGAATTGCAAATTTTACTCATCATAACTGTCTGTCTATTGTAATATACTTTCGAATATTTCTGCAAAATAGAACTTGAAAAAATCTAAGCAGCAATTTGGAATACAAAGTCATCGATACTTTTGCCATTGGAAAACGACGCCTCGGTGTTGAGTGACACCTGCTAGGAGCAGTCGTTTCGTTTTGCTTCCTGAAAAACGAGCCGACCGAGCAAGCAGTTCGCGAAAAATCAGATGTGTGTTCCCCAACGCGTTCCTGCGCATTCCATGAATTTTTAATCAGCCCTAAACGAAATTTGTTTGAATGTATAATCTAGAAATTATTATTCCAAAGAACTGCTATTTCATAAGTTACGTGTTTCAATCGGTGACACGTTCTTTATTCGGCCAATTAACACTATTTTTACCAAAAGGTGTTAAAAGGCACAAATTTATCGTTTTATACAAACGTTGAAATGACAAAAAATTTCATAGAATTTTTACCAGTAATTGCAAGTCGCAATACAGGCAGATGTCCGGAAATTTCCTTTAAATCTTTGGCCGTAAATCACCATCTCTGACAGGTAATTTGGTACATGGTTAACATTTATAACGCGATACTAATCATTTTATTGCCAAGAAACGATGTACATTTTCTCCACGAATGAAACTCTGATAAGTAGATAGTATTCAACTTTACTTTGTGTTACAGCTATAACCGCGAAACGTTAAAGATAAGAATATCATCGAGACGACTAAACTAACTCATTAAAAACAAGTATAATGTGAAAATAGGTAAAGTAAACGAGACGGGGGGAAAATAAAAATTCGAAATTACATGCGAATTAGGATAAATCAAATAATCCACAGCGATGGATCGTGGCTGGCGTGTGTTTTCCCCCTGAGAGGAAACGTTTCAAAAATTCCAAAGTCACCTCACTTTTTAAACATAATTATACACTTACAAGGTGTATAAAGTTATAAAACTTGTAAATATGATTTGTTAGTAAATGTTAAATTTGATTAACGTATATGTATATATATATCTTAATTTTAAATTTAAACTAGCCTTTTTCGTGGATAATATTTACACGATTAAAATTTTTGAATGACAGTGTACGATGAAAAACAAACTATTAAAATTGCAGCCGCTGTTGTTAATTTATAAAGTGAATATTTATGAACCTTTTAGTTTCATTGCTTTTAAAATATATTTTATTTACTAAAAACCGTTACTATAACTGTAATTACTATTATTGAGCAAGAAGAAAGTTGATACTAGAGGATAATTACTATCTTTTAGCTGAAGCTTTTATATTATCAACGAGGCACTTGAAACAACGATAGGAACCAGCGATCTTCCATTAAGATTGCCATCGTTTTTCGTTTTCACATTTAAAGTTGTGTCGATACTGACCATGATGTTAATTGAACTAGTACATAATCATTCGTTTCGAAAATTCGTCGTCCTCGATGAGAGGTGTTAAAAAGATTCCGTGGCACAAAAAGTTCGTGGAGCGTCGTTTTCGACCATAAGTTGACCAAAAAGTGCAAAATCGGCCATAAAAATGCTATAATACGTCCATTGTAATACTTTCATTATTCTCTATATGTATTTTAATTCTTTGTCAACTTTGAAAAAACTCTACGCAATAACATGATTTAAATTTATAAAATTTCTGCAATATTAGATATTTTAAAGTAACACTTTTATAAATAATAATTAAAAAAGACACTATTTTTTAATGACACTATTTTAAACATGATAGAAAAATTATTTAAAAATTGATTGAAATGAAAGGTGCGTAAGTTAGTAACCGAAATTATTTAATAATAATTTATAATTTTTATCACAACTATTACAATATATTTTACAACAGTTACGATGTCTGCCATCGAAATTTTGCACGATGAACAATTCATTCTCATCAATTTGAACGCCGATCGAGCGACGCGAACAAATGAATTAGCGAATCAAGGAGATTGCGAACTATTAATAAGTGCCATCTCGCCTCTAAATCGAATTAGAAATCATCTAATCGGTGCGATAACTCGTTTAGACTGCGCCGTAATCAACGCTTGCGAATTCCGCTTGCATATTTATGCGTATTATGCAATTACAACGCGTAAATCGCAATCAATTCTTCCTTGAGATTTGCTTCCTTGAGATTTTCTTTGGGGACAGAAAATAAGGAGAAATTTTCTTCTCCAATCTTTTGCACGGTAGAATCTTAATAACTCTGTTTTTCTATCGAAGAAAATTATTGACAAAAATTATATGTGATATTATCCTTTAATACATGTGTACTGCGAACTGCAACGTTTTATCAATAAAACAATTAGAAACTAATAATTTTCTTATCTCTCCCATTTAATACTTTCTTAAGTTATCTCACGATATTTTTAATTTTAATGATATCTTAATACATGAAATTAGCAAAAATCTAAATCATTAAGTTGATAGATTATTACTGTTCTTAATTACTGATAATGAGAAAGAAACGTTAATAACAAGAATACCGAAACAATACTGGTATTTATTTCTGTCTAATAAAAACACTAATATATTTACCTATATTTACTAGTAATTTACTCATTATGGTTTTCTCGATTTCGTTTAAGTAGAATCAATGCCCGATTCAGCGATTTACTAAACTCCTATTATTCAACCGAACTACTGTCGAGCATCATTCCAATTATACGAACGAAAATGTAAATAAAACTTATTTATGCTCCCTTATCGTCGTTGCCGATTTACACCAGATAATGCAGATAGCGAAACCTGCGATAATAAATTAAATCCCAGACACATCGACACCCTCCATTCTTCAAATGTAGCTATTAAATGGTTGGAATCGTAGCAAGTATTTTGTATCATACTTATTAAATAATAAAAAATATTGATACTTGTTAGTTTTACTCTGCGCCCAAATAATGAATTTATTTATTAACTCATTCAAATTTCATTTTTCCATAATATTTAATTTGTGTTTTTAAATTCGGTAACTTCTTGTTTTAAACAAGTTCCAAAGATTCGAACCAATTTAGAGACTTTTTTGGTAAAACAGCTACTTTGGAGCTTCGATTTGATAGAACAAGCACCGTGTTTGACTTTCTAGTCGTCCTTTTCGCCCTTTCGACGAATAAAACTGACGTCAAACGCGGTCATACAACGTCAAACCATAACATACAGATTCTAATTTATCTTGAACATCGTCCGACGTTCCAATGAACCAAAAGTCGCGGACTGCGGACATTTTCGAGCGGATACGAGAGCCTGGAACGCAGAAATTGCATAATCTGGAGCGAGTATGTTTGACGGTTCGCCGTTTCGCAATATCGACGTTCGGAAAAGCGCCGCTCGGCATTACGTCAGGAATATTCGATCGGTTTGCGTTACCTAACCAGCTTCGATGCTCTTGAGAAAAAAAAGAATACTGCGTTGTTCCCATGTATACGAGCCCGGAAAATCAAAGAGAAAAATCTTTGAAAGAAACGTCAAACGCGACATAGAATTACACACAAAACTAAACGCATGGCGATCTACTTCGACTTCCTGGCGTTGTTAAATTCTTGTTCGAGTGGAACAAATATTTTTTCTCCGAGTTAATCGTCCTACCAAAAATTGCCAAACTTTTCTACTTTGCAATTTTCTACTTCCTCTGTCAAACACAATTGTTCGAATTTGTTGTGCAGTGTTTGTGAAAATGACATCAATTTCAGCAAAGACTGTAGACAAAAATATAATATTTCTTGGCTTAAGAAATATTGGAAATTTTTTAAAACGATAATTCAAGGGAACAGGAGATTTTTTTTATATTGATGTTTATTAATACTATCAACTCTTAACTATGGCTACAATTCGAATGAATAATGACTTTCGAGTCTACGAACGCATTCAGTTCAGTTAGCGAATTAGGCGATCGAAAGATTGGGGTGGTCTGCTAATTTCGAGATTTCTTCTTTCACTATTGGGATATTTGTTGAACGATTGTACGTAGGAGCGTTAATCGACGTTAACGAGGTGACATCATCGACGAACGATCATACCTTACCTTCAATATCGAAAGAAACCGGAAATCACGCGTACTGAAACAGCTACTCCAAGTTACGCGATAATAACATAGTTTCTGCACATTTCACAGATTTACAATTATAATTACACCGCGATTGAACGGGAATTACCGTACGATTACGTTTGATCGTGTCATGACGAATATAATCGGATCACATTTTTCTCGACTATCGAGTTACGGTAACTCGTTTCG